CTAGCAGCTCGATCAATGGCCAGTTGTGACAGGCGACCTCGGTGTCGAGACCGAGCATCTCCGTAGCACTTCACGCAGACAGGTCCACATTCTCCCTCAAGCAAGCTTTGATCTGCTTCCTCGCCAGGTCGGGGAGTTCGGTGCCGATCTTCACACCTTTGTGAGGGTCTTCACTGAGGGGGACGAATTCAAAGTCCTCATCCGAGATTGGTCGGAGGAGTCCCTATTTGCCGTTGGGTACTTCATCCTGGTAGAAACGAGTGTCCAGCGAAATAGAGTCGACTTTGGGAGGAGCTCTTTATTCCTCCATCCTAACGGGCTAAGGCTCTGGTGAGTAGTGGTGGCTCTCTTGGTGGGTCATGTTCCAGTGTCGACCGTACTTTGTCCCTTTGACGATGCGTTGAAGCATCTCTAGGCAGCTGGGAGGTCACCTTGGATGGTGGTGACGCATCCTCTCTTCGTGTATAATTTCATATTTAGATGGATGATGGAGGGAACAACGGTCAATTCTGCCAATGTTGGTCTCACTAAGATGCATTTGTAGAGAGACAGGAAGTTGATGACCAGAAACCGCACCTTGACTTTCCTGGTGGTGGTCTCCTCACCGAAGGTGACTAAGAGCTCCACGTACCCCCACAATTTGGAGGTTGAGCCTTTGAAGCTTTGCAGGTCGGACCCCATGTATGGTGAAAGGCGGGTGTCGTCGAGCTGTAGGGTTCGGAAAAGTTGGCTATACATTACGTCGACGGAACTCCCTTCGTCGACTAAGACCCGATGAACGTCAAAATTAGCCATCCTCGCCCTAACCATAAGAGGGATGCTTGAGTTAGGGGCCCCTCCAAGCATTCTTCGAGGTAGAATATGATCGGCTCTGATCTGCCCTTAACCCTCTCGAATTCCACTGTTTGCGAGGGGCCGCATCGACCAGTTTGTCTAGTTTCCTCTTTGCGGAGTTTATAGTTATGTCGTTGACCCCCCCCCCCCCCCCCCCCCGCCATTTATAACCATGGCGGAGGGGAATCTTTCCCACCTACTGTTCATGGATAGAGGCTCTTCAATATTGTCGGGGACGTAGAAGTCTTCTGGTTTTGTAACAGAGTATGCTGTCTGGATGGGGACCGTCTCGTCTGATAGTCGGGCATCCTCCTTAATCTCCTTTGTGTCACGGCATCTCTACGAGGGGTGTTGTTGCATCGATATTGCCCGAGTCTCCCCCCTTTAATGAGGGTATCAATAGCATATTTGAGATGGACACAGTCTTCAGTCAGGTGTCCATGACTTTGATGATACTGGTAGTATTTGCTCCGATCAACCCCGGGCTTAGCAGGAGAAGAGAGAGGACGCTTGACGCTGCCATCCTTGAAATCAGTACTAGCACACTCCGCCAAGATGCGCTTGCGGGAAGCTTTCAGCGGAGTGTACTCAGTAAATTACCATGCGGGCCCTCTTTGCTCGCGAGGATCCCGTGCTTTGTCATCCCTTCTCTTCTTTCCAGTTCATCGGGGAGGGCCAAAATCTTGTTGTTGTGGATTGCTGGTTGATCTAAGATTCCTTGGGTCCCAGGCTCTATTGGCCGCGTCCCTCTCCTCATAGTCCATATAGCATCGAATGTCTGCGGTGGTTTGATGCCAACAACTTTTCTGAACTTCGTGCCCGGGAGGAGTCCCCCCTCGAGCAGGTATCTCTTCATATGATCGGTGCAAGGGACCTGAATGATCTCGCGATTGAACTGATCAATAAACTTCCCGAGGGTCTCGTCGTTTCTTTGGATGATGGCCTCGAGGGCTGCCTCAGTCTTTCAGATGTCGACGTGAGGCAGTGAATGAATTGATGAACTGGTTTTTTAAATTTCTCCAGGAGTTAATTAACCCCAGGGAGAGGCTCTTATACCAGTCCATCACAGTCTTTCTCAAAGTCATTGGAAACAACCGACATTTGATCGGTCCCCTGACGTTATGATAATGCAACATTGCCTCGAACCCATTGATATGGTCGACTGGATCAGCAATGCCGTCATACTCCTCCAGATGGGGAGGTTTCTCAATATCCAGGGGAATGGGTGCCTCCATAATAGCCTGGAATAGGGGACCGTGGGGGTCGTCTTTGCCGATTTTGTCCGAAGATCGAGAAGGCGAACTGTTGTAATAGAGGTCGTGATTGTGGCCTTGGTCACGTAGAGGATTCCTCGGGCGGTATGGTCATTCGTCATTTCCCATGTTCCTGTTTCCAGGGGGTCTTTGCTCTTAACGCGGGGGGACGTGATCACGTCTCCCCGTATCTACGGGCTGATCCCTCTCCAACATGGGGCGTCACCCAATTGGTCGGGGGGAGGGGCTTCGAGAGGCATCCCATCCGCGTCTCCACGGGGGAGATTGGGGACGGTCCTCTATCCGACGAGGAGGAGGAGAATCAGGCCTCCTATGTCTTCTGGGGGCTCTCCGAGAATCTTCGAGCGTCCTTAATCTCTCCCCTTGCGAAAAGATTAAGTAGTTTGTTTGATTTATTATCGTGAACAGAGTACCCTGGTCGTGGCATCAGCACCCGTAGGAACGGGGACCTCCTGGAACGCGGGCGACTGATAGTTCTGGAGAGGACGACGATCGTCTTCGAGTCGTCTAGACAGTGATGACAAAGAGGAAGTCAGTCTGTCTCTGTACTCTGAGGGGTCGGGCATGTCACCGACGTGGCCGTTATTATTGCCGTTGTTGTTATTGTTACCGGCGTTGAGGCCAACGAGACCAGCACTGTTGATGTCAGTGTTGTGGTCAGCGAAGTTGTTGTTGACGTCGGCGAGATGGACATTCAGGTTGTTTTCTGCCGTGAGATCGACCATGACAGTAAAAAAGGAGTTGGATTAACTTTTGTCTTGGATGAATGAAAGATAGGGAAGTTGTGTTTCTCACAGACGATGCCACTGATTGTACCTGACCAGAATAGACCGTCACAATTTACTTCGAGTAGAACTTGAGAGTGAGGTGGGGGGGATACCTGCAAGACACTCTGATGCCAAAATGAGATACAGAATGAGCTAGCAAGCAAGAGTGAGTAAGAGATGTTCAATACCTGACCCTCTCGAAAGAGATGGTATTTATAGCCCCTAGCGCTGGGCCAAGATCTCCTCATTGGGCTGGTCAAGCAGGCCCAAAGTGGAGACTGCCAGGTCCTACGTGAGTAGTGAGAACCCGCACGTGGTCTCTCACCTAGATGACTTCCTCCGCAAGATCAGGAGGATATGGATGCGGTCTTTTCGGGACCACGAAGATTCCATGATATTCGGAGACGTTGAGAGTCAGCCTTACGAGGAGGATGCTCGTGAGGTGCTTCTGCTCGTCGTGGATTCTCCCCGTCAGAAGCGAGGTCGTGCAAGGGGATCAGTCTTAGTCGGGAAGGGGGTCGGAGGGTGACCTCGAGGTCCTCCTGACCGGCGATGATCTTCCTAAGACTAAATGAGTTCATCCCCGTGCGGTGAGGTTGCCTCCTCGCGGGGAGTGAAAGTTTTTTCCTGACGCAGTCGAGGGCAGAACTGGCCAGGATGTCTTGACCGATATAATTGGGTTGGATCTCACATGGAGTTGGACCAAGGGCAGACCCAGTCTAGAACAATATCCATTCGGGTCACCCACCATTTATATATGCACACCAAGCCCGACAATACTGAGTGTAAGGGGTGTATTGAAAAAATTAAGTCCCACATATCGACAATTCAAATCATCCACCGTTTATATTCACACATCAAATTCAATAATGCCCGAGTTATGTCAAACTCTAATTCTAGTTTTTTTCTCTAAAATAATTTTTGAAAAATTACATTTGAAATAGAAAAATAGCTTTTGATTATACTCCCTTTGATTATTATTATAAGCAAATAATCTATTTTTATGTTTATTGAATAATGAATGTATTTGATCTTTTATGTAGACCAGATACATTCATTATTCAATGAATCTAAAAATAGAATATTATCGGAAAAATACAAAAGAATCACTTTAATTTTAATAGTGTAAAAAGTGTTTCTTTTAAAAGATCCTTGCAAACATAGTCAAGTGAACCGGGAATAGGATTGATCTTTGATTCATGGACAAAGATGTGAAAGATGAATTTGTTCACTTATGTCTATCAAATTAAAATTCAAAGTTGAAGTAGTCAATTCACAATTATTAATATAATGTAATGCGGAAGGAAATTTCCTTTGACAAATAGGTACTCAGAAATAGGCAAAAACAAAAAACAATAACACCAGACCATGTAGCTTTATAAGTGAGAATGACTGTTGTTATTAACGTTACTCTTGATTGTTTGACTGCTATTATTTATTTAGTGGTTTTGTTTTTTATTTGCATTGAATTCTGACAACTCTTGCCTTAAAAGTCAATAAGTAAGAATGACACGGTTTCATTCATTGAGAATGACTCGACTGGTGTTTTATTCAATTCAATGATTGAATTTAAGTGGTTGCTAAATTTAAATTCTATCTAAAATAATTATCATCAACCCGCCAAGATTACATAGTCGAGGGATCGGTGTTCAAACCATAGTCACTCCGCACGATTGATTCAGGTAAAATTAGATAATCAATCATAAAATTTGATTTCGATAACAAGATTGTGTAGGTATTAAATCAGGTTATACCAGATTATCTGATCTTTAAAATATTCTAGAAATATTATGATGTCTAAAAAATAAGTAGATAATTGATATTTTTCGTATAAATTATTATTTTTTTCCATTTATTTGGGATAAAGGTTTAAGTGATGAGATTTCTAATTTTTACTACTTTCAAAATTTAAATTTGTAAAATGTATTTTCTATTTTGAAATTTTATTAATTTTTAAAATAAAAAAATAATTATAAAGCAGGGAACTGTTAGAGTTACAGGTCCTTTGTCTTGTTCATATTAGACCTTTCTTCTCTTAGTTATATAGATTTTGAGAAAAGGAAACACTTGAGAGATTTGAAATCTAGGTGAACAGAAAGCTAAAGTTAATTCTGCATTCGTAATCATGGCAGTACCTTCTTCTTGTGATTGGACTCATGATGTCTTTCTAAGCTTTAGAGGCACTGATACCCGAAACACTTTTACTGGTAATCTCTTCAATTCTCTCCAACAAAGAGGTATAAACACTTTCTTTGATGAAGACACAATTCATGAAGGAGATGAAATCACACCTACTCTTCTCCAAGCCATTGAACACTCCAGAATTTTCATTGCTGTTTTCTCCAAAGACTACGCATCTTCGACTTTCTGTTTGAATGAGCTTGTCACTATTCTTGAGTGCGCCAAGCCACCACCTGGAAGGTTGTTTATTCCTATTTTTTATGATGTGGATCCTTCCCACATTCGATACCTAACTGGAACTTATGGTAAAGCTTTCAAAAAACACGAAAAGAGGTTTAGAAATGACAAGGATAAGGTGCAGAAATGGAGGAATGCTTTGCTTCAAGCCGCTAATGTTGCCGGATGCCATTTCAAACCAGGGTACCTCACTTACCTTTTTTATGTTTTTTTTTAACACTAGCAAAATTTCACACATCTGTTTCGCGCTATTTTATTTCCTCATCCATGAAATCTTGAAGATGATCGTTACGAGTAAACATATAAATCTAGTTGAAGGAAATACTTTGAAGAAGTAATCATTTGCTATTTTATTAGTTTTGGTTGAGGTGAATAGACCAAACACACTCAATGATTCGGTTTCAATTTACATGTGGTTTTTGTATTATGCAGGTCTGAATCAGAATATAAGTTTATTAGAAAGATAGTTGATAAGATCTCTATAGAAATCAACCGTGTTCATTTGAATGTTGCAAGCAAACCTGTTGGGTTGAAGTCTCAAATGTTAAAAGTTAAATCTCTCCTTGAATCTAATGAGAGAGTCATCATGGTAGGCATATATGGAATTGGCGGAATAGGAAAATCAACACTTGCTCGTGCTGTGCATAACTTGGTTGCTGATCAATTTGAAGGTGTGTGTTATCTTGCTGACATAAGACAGAAGACAACTAATGACGATCTTGCACACCTCCAAGAAACACTACTTTCTGAAATACTCGGGGAGAAGGATATTAAAGTGGTAGATGTTCACAAAGGAATTTCAATGATTAAAAGGAGGCTCCAAAGAAAGAAAGTCCTTTTGATTCTTGACAATATTGAAAAAGACAAGCAGTTACAGGTACTTGTAGGAGGACATGATTGGTTTGGCTCCGGCAGCAAGATCATAATCACTACAAGAAACAAGCATTTGCTGGCCACTCATGGGATTGTGAAAGTGTATGAGGTCCAACAGCTAAACAAAGAAAATGCTCTTGAATTATTTAGTTGTCATGCATTTAAACATGGAAAACTGGATCCAAGTTATGTGGATACTGCAAAACGTGCAGTATCTTATTGTCATGGTCTTCCCTTGGCTTTGGAGGTGATAGGTTCTCAATTGTTTGGAAAAAGTTTAGCTGTATGGAAATCTTCATTAGATATATATGATGGAGTCATTTGTAAAGACATCCATGACATTCTGAAAGTTAGCTATGATGTTTTGGAAGAAAATGAAAAGGGTATTTTTCTAGACATAGCTTGTTTCTTTAATTCTTATGAAATAGGCTATGTCAAAGAAATACTATACTTACATGGTTTTCATGCTGAAAATGGTATAAAAGATCTTACTGACAAATCTCTCATGAAAATTGATATCAATGGTTGTGTGAGAATGCATGACTTGATTCAAGACATGGGCAGAGCAATTGTGAGGCAGGAATCAACATTGGAGCCTGGACGTCGCAGTAGATTATGGTTTAGTGATGACATTCTTCATGTTTTGGAAGAAAACAAGGTACTTTAGTTAGAGTATCCCTTATTTGTTCTCTTTTTATATTTATACATTTCGATTACTACAAATTATGATTTAGAAATTTATGTTTACAACCATAGATGTAGATGACAAACTCCCAACATTTAATTTTTGTTTGAATTGTGATTTGAAATTGAAAGGGAACTGATTCAATAGAAGTCATAATTGCTGACTTGCGCAAAGACAGAAAAGTGAAATGGTGTGGAAAAGCCTTCGGACAAATGAAGAACTTGAAAGTTCTTATAATTAGAAATGGAGTTTTTTCCCAAAGTCCTCAAATTCTTCCAAGTAGTTTGAAAGTGCTTGATTGGAGTGGATATCAATCCTCCTCTTTACCTTTCGATTTTAATCCCAAGAATCTTGCAATACTCAACCTGCCTGAAAGCTACCTTAAACAGTTTGAATCATTCAAGGCATGTATTCTCTTCCAAAAAAATTATATGTTGAACATGTTCTGATTGCCTTAATATAATGTTTATTTGAAGTTGATACCTAACAATTTGAGGCTTCTATTTTTCTGTAGGTGTTTGAGATGTTGAACTTTCTAGATTTTGAAGCCTGCAAGTACCTAACCGAAATACCTAGCTTATCTAGATTACCCAAGTTGGGGGCACTGTGTGTCGATTATTGCACAAATTTAGTTAGAATTCATGACTCAGTTGGCTATCTTGAGAGGCTTGTTTTATTAAGTGCTCAAGGATGCACCCAATTAGAAATTCTGGTTCCTTGTATCAACTTGCCATCTTTAGAGACTTTAGATCTTAGAGGTTGCTCATGTCTTGAAAGGTTCCCGGAAGTAGTTGGAGTAATGGAGAATATAAAAGATGTTTATTTAGACCAGACTGCCATAAAACAATTGCCTTTTACATTTGAAAATCTCGTTGGACTCCAACGTTTGTTCTTGAGGGGATGCCAAAGGATGATCCAGCTACCAAGCTACATATTTCCCAAATGTGAGATAATTACATCTTATGGTTGTAGAGGATTTCGATCATTCAACAATGAAGAAAAAGTGCGCCCAAAAGTGTTTGTAGATGCTATGCTTGTTCACAATGAAGGTGGATGGTCCTACCTTAATATGTATTCTCGTTATACAACCTCCAATGATGTCCTAGAAGTGTGTACTCCTCTATGTGAAACCAATTTTTCTAGATTTAGGGATAAAGAGGGGAGTGCAAGTAATAAATCATCACTGTCTTTTTGGTTCCGGAATAATTTCCCTAGGATAGCTCTAATGTGTCAAGTAGAATATGAAAAGCATTTGGACAACATGGTGTTGAATTTCGAGTTGAATGTACTCATCAATGGGACTAAACAACTTACTTCCTCATGTGAATACATATTTTATACTGAAAAAGTGACAACACAAACTCTTAACTTTGATGTAATATGCAAAGTGGAGGGTGTATTTTCAGAGAATGAGTGGAATCTAGTAGAGATTTTGTGTGAGTTCAAACGCCTCATACCATGTGATTTTGAAGGGGGGATGGCCTATCGAGATTGGACCACTAAGAGGATTGTGAAGTGGGTTTTCTTGATAGAAAACAAAGGGGATGATTTGAGTTACCTTGACAATCCTAATTCTCCTATGTCAACCGAAGAGAAATTTCTAGAGATAGAAGAAATAAAGGAAAGATTACTCGTCTTGACAATCCTGATTCTCCTATGTCAACAACTGAAGAGAATTTCAAGAGATACAAGAAATAAATGAAAGAGTACTTGTCAATCAAAGAGAAAATTCAATAGATACAAGAAATAAAGGAAAGAGTACTCGTCGTGGGCAATACTTTCAGAATGAATGAAGTTAACTTATAGCCAACTATGCAGCTCATTTGACTCTTTCATGTTAAACCTTGTGTAATGTAATTGGTCTAGACTACACTATCATTCATTATCATGTTACAACAAACACTACCTTCTTTATCTTCTTTGTGATTCGACTTATGATGTCTTCCTCGGTTATAGAGGGATAGATACAAGAACCTTCATTGGTAATCTCTACAATTCTCTTCATCAAAGAGGTATACAAACTTTCATTGATGAAGAACAAATCCAAAAAGGAGAACAAATTCACCCGCTCTTCAAGCAATTAAACAATCTAGGATTTTCATTGTTATTTTCTCTTAATAATTTTGCATCTTCAACATTTTGTTTGACTGAACTTGTCATGATCCCTGAGGGCTCAGAATCTAAAGGACGATTATTTTTGCTGATTTTTTTATGATTGGATTGGATCCATTCCAAATTTAACAGGGAAAATCTTCTGTGATTGAGTATTTTAATATACTTAACAAACACTGGCAGCAACTCGACATATATAAAGAGGTTACATGGTGTTGTACAGAAGATCAAAAGAAGTATAAGGAACTGGTGGAAAAAGATAGGGTTTACAAATTTCTATTGGGGTTAAACAAGGACCTAGATGAAGTTCCTGGAAGGATCCTTGGAAACAAACCACTTCTCAAAATTCGAGAAGCCTTTTCAGAAGTGAGAAGGGAAGAAAGCAGGAGGAAAATCATGTTGGAAACAACCAACTCAGTTCCGTACATCGAAAGCCCTGCAATGGCAGCAAGAGGAAATCAACCTCAGCCACCACAAAAGAAAACTCGCCCCTGGTGTGATCACTGTAACAGACCAGGCCACACAAAGAAAACATGTTAGATCTTACATGGAAAACCTTCAGAGACCAAATTGTTCAAAGGCAAGGAGGACAGAGGTAACACATCATTTAACAATCAAGAAGCTGAGGTATACTCTAACTCATCTCTTTTTAGCAAAGAACAAATGGAGACTCTTCAAAAACTCTTTCAGCAAACCATGTTAATTGCAGAAAAAGGTGGTACTGTCGTAGTGGCTCAAAGGGGTAATTACTTACATGCTCTAAACACTAGTAAGGAAAAAACAAAATCACGGATTATTGACTTAGGGGCGTTAGATCACATGTCTGGAGATTTTACTATAATGTTCGAATAGTTGATGATACACATTCTAAGGTCATGGGTAAAGGATCAATTATCCACTACAATATTTTTGGCCTACGACCACGCTAAAATTTTTTACAACTCAAAAACGGTGGTCACATACAAGCTTTGGCCAGAGTTTTCAAATCGTAGACATATATTTTGAAACATTTAACCCAAAGTGTGAAACTGTGGTCTTTTCTTCAATTGCCATTGTAACACCCCATTTCTACCCGTCGGATAATAAGAAAATCAGAGTTCAACATAAATAGGATGCTACATTTTCAACTTGAAATCAACTTCATCTAATCGCATATAAATCAGATACATAACACTTAACTCGGATGAACCAATAACAACTTGATTTATTCTTTAAAAATCAAACAACTTTTTATTGATAAGCATCAGACTATACATATTCAACTTCAATTCACTTAACATCTTTATTCAACTAAAACAACTTCAAGACAACAGTTACTTCATGTAAACAACTTAAAGATTCAGCAACATAAATAAATATCAACCACTAAACATCAAGCGTTCATCCCCCTGAGTGCTATGTATCAGAGCGACGACACCGACTCGACCTAACGAGGTAACAGCTATCCTTCTTGATTACCTGCACATTACCAACAGAGGGCAACATTCAAACAGAATGGGTGAGATATCGAACTATATAATAGAATGTATGATAAATAATATATCAGAATCAGATCATATAAAATCACCACTTCACAACTTTCAAACATCTTTAATCTCAACAAAACATCAACACGACATAACAACTAATTCACAACCTTTAGATGATACCTATCACAACAAGTCAACAACATAAAGCAACAACAAATCTATCTTCACCATAACTCAAGATGCAACACCAAATGCGACTCAATTACAATGCACATGCATGTGGTACTATTGGAGCAAAACTCTCAACTTAAAAATCTGCCAATAAATAGAGGCATCAACAAGGCATAAGCCTTCATCGCAGGTTGCCATCAAGTCCAAGGCGTAAGCCTTCATCGCTAGTTTTGCCAATCCAGGCCAACGTGGTGCCAATCCAGGCCAACTTAATAATGGAAATGTATGTGACTCAATGAATGCAACAATCACATACAACAACAATCACCATCACAAAGGCATAAGCCTATATTGTCACTTTACCAATAATTAGAGGTACTCATCGTCGCTTCAACATTGGCCATAGGCCTACAATTTAATCAACTTATCAATCACAACATATAAACAACAACATATTCAATAACAATAATGTATTCGACAACGACTTATTCACAACAATAACCAACAACACAATTCCATAAACCGGAACCATTCAACTTAATTCGACTTCACCTGCAAATCAACTTTATTCTACATAATTCTAACAAAACAAACCAACTAAAAATACCTATATGTATATACGACTTACTCCGACAATTTCAACTAATTCTGATTAACTACTTTTACCGCCTAAATCTACAAATTCGACTAATCGATATTGTTTTATATACTGTTATTACTACTATTTATTTATACTGCTACTAATCATTTTATTCTACTAAATTATGCTACCTCTACTATTTAGCTCACTGCTATTATTGGTCTCTGCCAAAACTACTTGTTCGCTATATACAACTTCTACCGATAACTCTCTGCTAAATTATTGCATCTGTCATTAATATACTACTCTGCTAAATTATTTATTACCAACTCTGCAACTAAAACCATCACTGCTATTTTAATTTCTAAGACAACTACTAATATAATTCTGCTAATTATTAACTCTGCTATTTCGTTACTATTCTGCTAAATATATTGGTCTGATACTCTGACTGCATACTAAGTATTAATCTAACAATTATTCCTGTAACTTCTTTAATTTTATCTGATACTAAATTATTGTTTAAACCACTCTGCTATATTAATCCACCATGATACTATTCATGACTTAAGTAGTATATATATATATCATGGTGCCGATCGACACCCATCTTGCCATCATCCCTGCCGATCGGCAGGGCCCTTTCCGGTCGTCACTGCATTCATAACACTCTCCATGCCGGTCGTCACTCTCCATTCACAACAATGCGTGTCGCTCGGCATGCTCCTTTAGTCAAAGTGCGTCGTTCGACACTCTTTCTTCCAGCCATGCCTACTTCACCAAATTACCCAGTTTTTCATTGATTTTCATCCGAGACCAATACAACGATTAATTACAGCAACAAACAACTACACCAACATCAACATGGAACAACTTTCAAAAACGAATTTATCGACAGTAACCAATTTTATCCGAATATTCTCAACAATCAACGCACATAGCAACAATTTTAACAACCCAACTCCCACCTATCATTTATCATATACCCAATTATAGAGAAAGAACCCCACCCTTACCTTGGATTGGAGACCGCTCTATTCCACCGGTTGAACCTCGCTTTTCCGTAGCTTCCAACCTTTGCCTCTTCTCTGTAACCTTGCAACTTCTCACGTTCCCATAAAATTCTCCAAGACTTGTTCAATTAACCTAATTCTCCTTATAAATAGCTTAACCTTATAATTTCTATTATTCTTAATAATTCCATTGGGCCTAATCTTAACACCCTCACTTTTACTATCACCAACCAATAATTAAGCCCATATAATAAATCTAGTATTATTCCAATACTATTTCTACAACTTAATCAACCAAATAATCAACTAACAACATGACAACTTAAATCAACATTTCAACAAATTCAACAATTAATCCGTAATTAATTTAATTAAATAATTAATTAAATTAACGGGCATTACAACCACGATTATAAAATCACACTTATATTTTATGCACGGTTAACAAACTGTAGATATTTTAAGCCACAAAGAAAAACCGCGACATTATAATTTTCACTTCAAACTGTGGCCCAAGTCCAAAAAAATATACCTCGCCAGAATTCTCCTCTTTTTTAGTTTCCCTCTCGTTAATTAGTTTCATTTCTATTTTTTTTTAGATTAAAAAAAGGAAAAAAAATTGAAAAAGTGAATACAATGCAATAAGGATGCATCTAACCTAATTTTATAATCATTTGAAGTGTCTACTCCCCTGTTCCTCGGTGTCTCCTCCTGTTCTCCGCTTCTTGTAACGCCCGTAATTTAATTTATTATTTAATTAAATTATTTTTGGAATATTTGTGAAGATGTGTTATGATTAATTGGATTTATTTTATTAAGTGGAGAAATAATATTAGAATTATAATATTATCGGATGTGTGCTTGTTTTTGAAGGAATAAAAGTAATAAGGGGTGTGTATTAATTTGAGCCCAATAAGGAATAAAGAATAATAGGTTATTTTATTGTTGCTAGAAAGAATAGAAAGAAAGAAGCAGTAGAAGAATAAGGATTGAGAAGGGAACATGAAGCTGCTGGAAAAAGTGGAAAAACGACAGAACGAGAATTCAACCGGAAAATTATAGAGCGACCTTCAATCCAAGGTAAGGGTGGAGTTCTGACTTTATAATTGGGTTCATGATGATTGATATGTGGGGTTAGAGGTGATTGCTGTTTTGTTCTTGAATTGGATGTGTATGATGATGTATGATGAAAATTTGATGAATTTTGGATGAATAATGATACCCCAATGTTGTTTAATTGATATAGAATCATAGGATAATTGTAGGTAATGATTTAGCATGATTATATTAAGTTTGTAGGGCTAAAACATGAATCCCGTAGTGAGATACAGGGAGGAAGATCGCAGAATTATGCAGGAAGAGTCAGGATGTGTCGACCTCAAACTTGATGCGTCGATACATGATGGCCTAGAGACTCAGTATGAGTCGACACAGAGAGGCTTGCGTCGATACATGAAGGTTGAAAGACTCAGGATGAGTCGATCTGTGAGATGCATGTGTCGATACATGATGTATGCAAGACTCAGGATGAGTCGGTCCATGAGAGGATGCGTCGACTCATGTTGTGCAGTTAGAGCAGTACGCGTCGATCCAAGGGGTTTTGCATCGACCCATAATGCCTGATTTTTGGCAGATTCAGTTTTAAAGTGCTGTAACTTGAGTTTTAGGATGTCGTTCGAAGTGTTGGATAGCTAACGCGATGAACATTATTCTAGAGGATTAAAATGAATAATAGGAAGTGTGATCCTAGTAGCCAATTTAGGATTTATAATTAATTCCCATGTTGATCGTTGCGTTGGTTTTGAATAGAATGATGCAAATTAGATGCCTAGAGGCTGCTGTTAGAATTATAACAGTAGGATTAGTGACATAAATGATGTAAGAATTACAGAATAGCAGTATGAATTACTGTGGTATTAATGTACAACTGAGTTGTTAGTGAGAAGTTACTAATGATGTTATGTTGATGATTTATAATAAATAAATGATGTTTGATGAATTATTATGATGATATGAGATGTTGATGAAGAGACGTTGAGATGCTTTTGAGATGTTGTTAATTTGAGATACTTTTGAGATGTTGTTAACTTGGATATTGTTATTACATTCATGGTTGTGTCGCATACATTGCATTTTTGAGATGGAGCTTATGCTCGTTGAGATGACATGTATTGGCGAATTTTGAGATGAAGGCTTATGCTTTGTTGATGCCTCTATTAATTGGCAAATTTTTGAGATGGAAGTTCTGCTCCAATGGTACCACATGCATTTGCATAGTATTGAGTCGCATTATATGATTGCATAAAGAAGTGTATTTTGATGTTGATGAATGTGTATATACATTGTGATTATTGTTGATTATGAGATGAGAAGTGGTGATGTTGATCTAATTTAATATATTAATTATCATGCGTTTTATTATATTGTTAGATATCTCACCCCTTCTGTTTGAATGTTGCCCTTATGTTGGTAATGTGCAGGTAATCGAGAGTGAAGGCTATATATCTTCGGTAGTTCGAGTCGGTGTCATTGCTCTGATATGTAACACTCGGAGGATGAACACTTGTTGTTTTTGATTGTTGATTATTATTAAATTGTGTTGTTTTGAAGTTGCTGTATTGATGTTAAAGATGTTATTAAGAATTCCGCTGCGTAGATGTTAATTTATTTAATTAAAGATGTTATGATGGTTCATCCGATGTTTTAAAAGTGTTATATATGCACGATGAATGCAATGAATTTTTGATAGAAGAATTTGTGACGTCCCGATTCGTTTGCATGAATGATTTTTATAACTCTAATTTATTTATATAATTGCAGGGGTAGAATTGGGGTGTTACAAAGTTGGTATCAGAGCCTAGTTGGTCCGACCTTGTCGTTGAGTCGTAGTTGTCTAACAGTCGAGTATTGTTATTTGAGTTCTAATCGTTGTTTATGGTGTAGTGAGAAGTTGAGATGGTTGGGAGGAATGATGTTGCACTTGCTGCTGCTTTAGAAGCAATGGCTCATGCGATGGAGAATCAGCCGAATGCTGACGGGAATGCTGGATCTCGTAGCTTGGCGGCCTTCCAGAGAGAGAATCCACCTACGTTCAAGGGAAAGTATGATCCCGACGGAGCATTGGAGTGGTTGAAAGAGATTGAGAGAATCTTCCGTGTGATGGACTGCACTCCAGCGCAGAAGGTTCGTTATGGGACTCATATGCTAGCAGTCGAGGCTGATGACTGGTGGCTAGAGACTTGTCAGAAGTTGGAAGCTGCAGGTGAGAATGTCACTTGGGCTGTGTTCCATAGGGATTTTCTGAGAAAGTACTTTCCTGAAGATGTCCATGGTAAGAAGGAAATTGAGTTTCTTGAGCTGAAGCAAGGAGGTATGTCAGTTGTTGAGTATGCTGCCAAGTTTGCTGAGTTGGCTAAGTTTTATCCGCATTACGCTGAAGCAAATGCTAAGTTTTCGAAGTGTATAAAATTTGAGAATGGGTTGCGCCCGGAGATTAAGAAGGCAGTTGGATATCAGAAAATCCGTGTTTTTGCTGATTTGGTTGATAGCTGCAGGATTTATGAAGAGGATAATAATGCTCATTACAAGATTATCAGTGAGAAGAGGGGTAAGCACCAACAGAATCGTGGTAAGCCTTATGATGTCCCAATTGGTAAAGGTAAACAGAAAGTTGTCCAGAATCAGAGGACTAGTGGGGAAGATGCTCCTGCTGGTGTGGTTTGTTTTAAGTGTGGGAAACCTGGACACAAGAGTAATGTGTGCACTACTGAAGTGAAGAGGTGTTTCCGTTGTGGTAAGAACAGACATGTTGTATCTGAGTGTGAACACAAAGATGTGATTTGTTTTAATTGTAGAGAAGAAGGGCACATTGGTAGCCAGTGTCCGAAACCGAAAAGAGCTCAGTCTAGTGGAAAGGTGTTTGCTTTAGTGGAGGATCAGACAGCTGTTGAGGACAGACTTATCAGAGGTACATGTTTCATTAATAGTACTCCTTTAATTACTATTATTGATACTGGTGCTATGTATTGTTTTATTGCTGTTGATTGTGTTGAAAGATTGGGTCTTATGTTGTCTTCTTTGAATTCTCTTTTGAGAATAATGTTAATTTCTCTTCGTTTGAGTCGAGAAATTATCTAGTATAATTTTGGATTCTCTTTAGAGAATTAATTGAAATTTCTCCATGTTTGAGAAATTCTTTTGAGTGGTCAAATGACCATTATTGAATTCTATTTAGAGAATTATTAAAATTTCTCTTGATTTGAGAAATTATTATGACTGCCGATTATACCGGATACTACGAGTGGTATCGATACCATATTTGAATGGTCTTGTACCATTAGAGGGTGTATTTCTAAATCGATTATCTACCGTGCAAGTAGTAATTTTCTAGTATATAACTGAGTTGTTTTATCCTGGAGGCGGCGCAGTAGTTCGACTGATTTGCATAATTTTAAACAGTGTTGCGAAACGTCTTAAAGAACCTAGTCTGCGACTCAATCCAGTCATTTCTTTAATGACAAATATTTCAAATCCAAAAATAACAATTGAACAATCAAATAAATGAGTTGGACACCATGTCTTAATCCTAAATCTTAAGTCATTAGCTTTATATAGATCCTCTCAAAGGTGTGTTAACTTGCTGACATATGAGAGAAGTCAGCTAATCATAATCTTGCTTAGCTCCAAGAATCACTACTTTATGAAACACTCGTGCAAAAGGATATTAAAGTAAGAAGGGTTGTTCCGGCATCAAAGTCAGACAATTTTAATCTTAAATTACTTTCTATTGAGTGTAAGTATCTCTTTTCTTATTGATGTTTTTCTCTGCCCATTTCAGAAAGAACGGGATGCAGTTATTAAACTCTCAAACATAGAGTAAGAACATATCTTTTTCTTCATATACATTGTATTGATATTCATGCGTTTATCTTCCACACCCCTCTTATTACTCCTGACACCATGTGGGCTTCCTTTTGTGAATTGCACCGCGACCAATCCAAATCTTCTGTGAAGGGTTTGAGCGAAAGTCTGTCGAAACAACTCGTAAGATGGTAAATTATAAGCGGCAAATCAGCAAAAACTCTGGCGGAGACTCAAAAATATCAATATAGTATATTGGATATTATGGGGATTTTTTACGAATAAATTGTTGTCCAAATTAGTCAGTGTAGCTCTATGAACTAATTGTAAGAACCTTATTTTTGTAGTAAATTTGTTCGTTAAATCCTTCAAATACATAAATTTCACATTGAATATTTTTTTCATTAAATATTATTAGTTTGAACCTCATTATAGTACATTTCTTTATTTTTTTATTTATAATATAATTAGTAAAACCTATTAAGTATTCATTATTTTACCAATCACTCTTAAAAATTAATAATTGTGTTTCCATCAAAAATGTTACATCATTACATTACAACTCCAAAATTATAATATATTAATTTTACTCTGATTGTTTGCCTAGTATTATTTATTTAGTGGTTTTGTTTTTTATTTGCATTGAATCAACTCTTGCCTTGAAAGTCAATAAGTGGTTACTTGAGAAAAGTCTTCCCGAAGTAAATTGCCAAGGCAATGTGTAGGCAACTTCTAGGAAGCAAGGAACTTATTTAAATATAGTCTTTGAGAAAAGGAAACACTTGAGAGATTACAAATCTAGGAGAACAGAAAGCTAAAGTTAATTCTGCATTCGTAATCATGGCAGTACCTTCTTCTTGTGATTGGACTCATGATGTCTTTCTAAGCTTTAGAGGCACTGATACCCGAAACACTTTTACTGGTAATCTCTACAATTCTCTCCAACAAAGAGGTATAAACACTTTCTTTGATGAAGACACAATTCATGAAGGAGATGAAATCACACCTACTCTTCTCCAAGCCATTGAACACTCCAGAATTTTCATTGCTGTTTTCTCCAATGACTACGCATCTTCAACTTTCTGTTTGACTGAACTTGTCACCATTCTTGAGTCTGCCAAGTCACATGAAAGGTTGTTTTTTCCTATTTTTTATGATGTGGATCCTTCCCACATTCGACACCTAATTGGAACTTATGGTGAAGCTTTAGAAAGACACGAAAAGAGGTTTATAAATGACAAGGATAAGGTGCAGAAATGGAGGGATGCTTTGCGTCAAGCTGCTAATGTTTCCGGATGCCATTTCAAACCAGGGTACCTCCCTTAATCTTTTTATGTTTTCTTTTTAACAAAGGGAAAATTTTCACACATATGTTTCTCGCGCTATTTTATTTCCTCATCCACGAAATCTTGAATAAGATCTTCACTAGTAAACATATAAATCTAGTTGAAGAAAATATTTTGAACAAGTAATAATTTGTTATTTGATTAGTTTTGGTTGAAATGAATAGAATAAGCGCACTCAATGATTCGGTTTCAATTTACATGAACTTTTTTGTATTATGCAGGTCTGAATCAGAATATAAGTTTATTGGGAAGATAGTTGATGAGGTCTCTATAAAAATCAACCGTGTTCATTTGCATGTTGCAAGCAAACCTGTTGGGTTGGAGTTTCAAATGTTAAAAGTTACATCTCTCCTTGAATCTAATGAGAGAGTCGGCATGGTAGGCATTTATGGAATTGGCGGAATAGGAAAATCAACACTTGCTCGTGCTGTGCATAACTTGGTTGCTGATCAATTTGAAAGTGTGTGTTTTCTTGCTGACATAAGACAGCAGGAAGCTCAAATGGTCTTACCCACCTCCAAGAAACACTACTGTCTGAAATACTCGGAGAGAAGGATATTAAAGTGGGAGATGTTTATAGAGGAATGTCAATAATTAAAAGGAGGCTTCAAAGAAAAAAAGTCCTTTTGATTCTTGATAATATTGACAGAGAGAAGCAGTTACAGGTACTCGTAGGCGAACATGATTGGTTTGGCTTCGGCAGCAAGATCATAATCACTTCAAGAGACAAGCATTTGCTGGCCACTCATGGGATTGTGAAAGTGTATGAGGTCAAACAGTTAAACAAAGAAAAGGCTCTTGAATTATTTAGTTGGCATGCATTTAAAATTAAAAAAATGAATTCAAGTTATGTGGATACTGCAAAACGTGCAGTATCTTATTGTCAAGGTCTTCCCTTGGCTTTGGAGGTGATAGGTTCTCAATTGTTTGGAAAAAGTTTAGGTGTATGGAAATCCTCATTAGATATGTATGAAAAAGTCATTCATAAAGACATCCATGACATTCTGAAAGTTAGCTATGATGATTTGGAAGAAGATATAAAGGGTATTTTTTTAGACATAGCTTGTTTCTTTAATTCTTATGAAATAGGCTATGTCAAAGAAATATTATACTTACATGGTTTTCATGCGGAAAATGGCATAGATGAGCTTATTGACAAATCCCTCATGAAAATTGATAACAATGGTTGTGTGAGAATGCATGACTTGATTCAAGACATGGGCAGAAAAATTGTGAGGCAGGAATCAACATTGGAGCCTGGACGTCGCAGTAGATTATGGTTTAGTGATGACATTGTTCATGTTTTGGAAGAAAACAAGGTATGTACTTTAGTTAGAGTATCCCTTCTCTGCTTTCTTTATATTTATACATTTTTGTTGAAATTTATTACTAAGCTGAGAGAAACATACATTATGATTTAGATATTTGCGTTCACAACCATAGATATAGATGACAAATTCCCACCTTTAATTTTTGTTTGAATTGTTATTTGGAATTGAAAGGGAACCGATTCAATAGAAGTCATAATATGCGACTTGCACAAATACAAAAAAGTGAAATGGTGTGGAAAAGCCTTCGGCCAAATGAAGAACTTGAAAATCCTTATAATTAGAAGTGGACGATTTTCCCAAAGTCCTCAAATTCTTCCAAATAGCTTGAAAGTGCTTGATTGGAGTGGATATCAATCATCCTCTTTGCCATCTGATTTTAATCCCAAGAATCTTGCAATACTTAACCTTCCTGAAAGTTGCCTTAAACATTTTGTATCATTCAAGGTATGCGTGTATTCTTTTCATAAAAATTATATGTACAACATGTTCTGTATGGTTTAAAATAATGTTTATTTGAAAGTTGATACCTAACAATTTGAGGCTTTTTTTTTTCTTCTTTCTTTTTCTGTAGAGCTTTGAGATGTTGAACTTTATAGATTTTGAAGGCTGCAAGTTCCTAACCGAGATACCTAGTTTATCTAGAGTGCCAAATTTAGGGGCATTATGTGTCGATTATTGCACAAATTTAATTAGAATTCATGACTCAGTTGGGTTTCTTGAGAGGCTTGTGTTATTAAGTGCTCAAGGATGCACTCAATTAGAATGTCTGGTTCCTTTCATCAACTTACCATCTTTAGAGACTTTAGATCTTAGAGGTTGCTCACGTCTTGAAAGGTTCCCTGAAGTAGTTGCAGTAATGGAGAATATAAAAGACGTTTATTTAGATCAGACTGCCATAAAAGAATTGCCTTTTACATTTAGAAAACTTGTTGGCCTGCAACGTTTGTTCTTGAGGGGATACCATAGAATGATCCGGCTACCCAGCTATATATCTGCGAAATGTGAGATAATTACAGCTTATGGTTGTAGAGGATTTCGATCATTCGACGATGAAGAAAAAGTAAGCCCAAAAGTGTTTGAAGATGCCATGCTTGTTCGTAATGAATATGGATGGTTTTACCTTGATATGTATTCTTGTTACACGACCTCCAACGATGTCATTGAAGTATGTATGCCTCTGAGTGATTATGAATTTGGGTTTTTAGATATGAGCCGAAATCTTACGGTTAAAAAGAACGAATCATCTTTGTGGTTTTTGTTTCAAAAAAAATTCCCCAGGATATGTCTAATGTGTTTTGTACAAACTGATAAGCATTTGGACAACATGATATTCATTTTCAAGTTGAAAGTACTCATCAATGGCACTGAACAATTTACTTCCCAATGTAAATACATATTTTATACAAAAAAAGTGACTAAACAATGTTTTGTTTGTGATGTACATTGCAAAGTGGGGGGTGTATTTTCTGGGAATGAGTGGAATAAGGTGGAGATTTTATGTGAGTTGAAAACTCTCACGCCATGTGATTTGGAAAGGGTGATGGCCTCTCAGATTGGGACCACTACGAGTACTGCAACTTGGGATTTCAGGTTAGAAAACATAGGGGATGATTTGAGTTTTATTGACAATCCTGATTCTCCCCTGTCAACTGAAATAGGGTTAAATATTGATTTTCCCCCTGTGAAGTTGAAAAAGTATTTTGTTTATGATTCGTTCTATATAGAACAAACATTCTTCCACTATAAATCCATATACCCTGTACTGAGCACTACGAGTACTGCGGCTTGGGATTTAAGGTTAGAAAACCTAGGGGACCATATTCCATGTTTGGCTGATTAGGCCTAGGAAATTTTATTAGTTGGCATGTTTGGGGTTAGAATCCAAGACACTTTGCACATGCTTCAAGCAACCAGCCATTAGGCCATTTGTTTTCATCTGTTAATTGTGGCTGTTGTTTTGTATTTAGTTATTTCTCCATCAACTGCATTATTACCAACTGCATTTCACACCACATAACTTCATACATTTTACAGAGACTTGTTCAATGCTGAGCAGATACTGTGCAAAAACTCTTGAAGATGTTATTATAAATTTATAATGTTAGTGATGCCTAATAAAAACAATTACTGTAACTCTTCGCTCCTGTTGTTCTATTTCATATAACTCTTTTTTTGCCATCCTTGTAACTTACTTCAAATATTAATTTGTTGTCTTAGGAAATCTACATGACATAAATATTAGAATAAAAAGGGAGAAAGAAGAAACTGAAACATGAGAAATAAAAGAAAAAACAAATAAAGAATATAGAAATCTAACATACCTTAATAATATTCTGGTTTTAGAGGAGACTGTACATGCAAACATTTGCATAGTGTGTCTGAAATTGTTTGCTGTGTTTATCATATAAGAACCAACTAATAACATTGAGCATTTGGTTATTTTGAAAGCAAATGAATATAATAATTGTTTAATTGTCATTTAAAAAAAAAAACTGCTTAACTTCTCCAATAAAAGCAAACCCAGAAACAGAAGCAAACCCATGAATCTGTCTACCACGTTTCAACGCTTTAAAACCCATGTGCTTTGTTTTCCTATCATCAATTCATTAATTATTTCACAATTAGGTTTAGTTGATTTGTTTGATAGGTTAGTGATTTCAAGCAGAAATTATAAAATGGAGTTGGTAATAATGCAGTTGATGGAAAACCTGTTTTTTGTAGTTGATTTCTCTCCAAGTTTTTGGCTCTCTCTAAATCTGCATTAACTATTGTTCTAAAGTTTTTTTAAGATATAAATTAAACAAATAAATAATATTTTTTTGACACCATATATAAGTAATTAGTATTCACTTTCTTTTAAGAGTAATGTTATTCCAACATCCAAATCATATATATTAATATTTACACAAAATACTATTTCCCACATTTATATACTAAATAGTATTTTTTAAATAAAAAAAATATTTATGAAATAATGAATTTGTTTAATAAACGTTCGGACATTAAAAATTATTTAGTAGTAAAATAAAATTAGTTAATATAAAATAAAAATTTAATTAATAAAATATTGAAATTGATTAATAAATATCTAGATATCAAAAAATAATTTTTAGTAGCAAAACAAAGTTGATTAATAAAATATAAAATGTTGGTTATGAAATTGTGAAGTTGGTTAATAAATATTTAACTATTAAAAATAATTTTTAGTAATAAAATAAAGTTGATTAATAAAATTTAAAATATTAATTAATAAAATTATAAATTTATTTAATGACATAACTTTATATCAGTATCTCTTAATCTAAAATTAATAATAAAAAATTATTTTAAAAAAATTATTTATTATTATAATAATATTTTACTATATGTATTATTGTTTATTAAAAAATTATTTAAAAAATACTATTTACATATAAATACGATAAATAATATTAGGTGTAAATATTTATGTATGATTTGGGTGTAATTACTTTTCTTTTAAAAAAATTTGTTTTTAATTGAAGAGAAGGAAAAAGATTAAGTCACATAAATTTCAACTAGGTTGACATTCAACTCTAATCAAATATTATTAAAATTAAGAAAAAAAATTGAGGTTTAGGCTAAAAAGCCCAAGTAACAACAATGGTAGATCAAAATGATTGGTCAACTACCTTATTAAAAATCTTAGAAAAAACTTAATAAAATAAAATCTTGATGAACCAAAAAAGAGTTCAGATTAAATACAGAAAGTAATTCTTACTTAAATTTTAAATCATGATGACCAGTCTATTAGGACTAAAAACATCAAAAACACTATTGAAAACTATTCAAATTAAAGAGGACAATTTTATTGAAAAGTATTTAAACTAAAGAGGACAATTTTGTCAACACACTAGTTCTCTTTTCTATAAATAAGAGAAATAAAATCAATGTTTTAAAAATTAGTCTGGAGATTAAATCCGGAATAACTTAAACTCATAGTTCAACCGATTAGATTCGTATTATCCTCGTGTACTATTCTGATCAGTAATATGCATTTATAATCAATAATTGATATTACTATCTATCACGATATATTTGTTGTTTATCGCTAAATTAACAACGTAAAAACAAGTGTATTACCTAATAGATCTCTGAGTCTATTAACCAATAAATAGCACTAAGATCCAATAGTATTTATTGATATTAAACATAAACCTATCTCTAGAGTTTAACATCTAGCACATGAAAATCTTTGATCTAGTAAAAAATATATATTTCTCAATATCAATTCAAAACCATGAAAATGCTTTCTAATTAGCTACTTTAAAACTAGCATTAAGCATGAAAATGATCATCAATATTAAAACATAACTAGAATTATATAAAATATCATAATCAAGATACATTAGTATTCAGAAGAATACATCTACCTCCACCCACCCCCCCCCCCCCCCCCCCCCCCCCCCCCCCTCAGTATCTTCAGTAACTTCACTCTTAATGGCCAGTAGGTCCTGCTTGACGTCATGATAATAAATGTTAGCTCCATAATTTCAAGGAACAGCTTTGTAGGAGGAATATGGTATGGCCTAGGGGCTCTCTATCATATTCCTCCGACAAAGCTGTTCCTTAGAATTATGGAGCTGACGTTTATTATCATGACATCAAGCAGGACCTCCTGGCCATTAAGAATGAAGTTACTGAAGATACTGAGGGGAGGTTAGATGTATTTTGTAACACCCCAACCCTACCCCAATCAATTATGCAAAATAAATCTGAGTTATAAAATTTCAATCATACAAATGAATCAGGACGTCACAAATTCTTCTAACAAAATTCATTGTATCCATCATGGATATATAATACTTTCAAAACATCAGATGAACCATCAACATAACATCTTTAATTAAATAACTCAACAACTATGCAGCAAAATTCTCAATAACATCTTTAAACAACAAAACATCAACTTCTAAATATCACATATTTGATAATAATCAATTTAAAGTTCAACAACTGAAAATCAGCAATCAAAATCAGCAAGCGTCCATCCCCTCGAGTGTTACATATCAGAGAAATGACACCGACTCGAACTACTGAAGGTATACAGTCTTCACTCTCGATTACCTGCACGTTACCAACATAAGGGCAACATTCAAACAGAAGGGGTGAGATGTCTAACAATATAATAAAGCACATGATAATTAATATATTAAATTAGATCAATAACATCACCACTTCTCATCTCATAATCAACAACAATTACAACATATATACACGTTCATCAACATCAAAATACACTTCTTGATGAAATCAATAATGCGACTCAGTACTATGCAAATGCATGTGGTACCATTGGAGCAGAACTCTCATCTCAAAAATTTGCCAATTAATAGAGGCATCAACAAGGCATAGCCTTCATCTCAAAATTTGCCAATTCAGGCAATCTCAACGAGCATAAGCTCCATCTCAAAAAATGCAATGTATGCGACACCATAATGAATGTAATAACACCACTCAAGTCAACAACATCTCAAATCACCTCAAACATCTCAAATTAACATCTCAAAATACATCTCAAAATAACAACATCTCAACGTCTCGTCATCAACATCTCATATCATCAAGATAATTCATAAAACATCATTTGTTTATTATAAAATCATCAAACACAACTTCATTAATAACGTCTCACTAATACTCATCTGTATATTAATAATACAGTAATCCATACTGTTATTCTACAATTTTACATCGTTACTATCACTAATCCTACTGTCATAATTCAAACAGTAGCCTCTAAACATCTTGTATTCATCATTCTGTTCGAAACCAGCACAACGACCAACACGAGAATTAATTCTAAATCCTAAAATTTACTAATTGGATTACACTTATTATTCATCATTTTAATCCTCTGGAATAAAGTTCGTCGCGTTATCTATTCAACGCTTCGAATGGCATCTCAAACGACATCCTAAAACTCAAGTTACAACACTTTAAAACTGAATCTGTCAAAAACCAGACAATATGGATCGACGCAAAACGTCTTGGATCGACGCGTATTGCACTAAACTCGCAACATGAGTCGACACATCCTCTCTTGGATCGACTCATCCTGAGTCTAACACACAGCATGTATCGATGCAAAACCTCTTTGTGTCGACTCATCCTAAGCATCTTAACCTTCTTGTATCGACACATCATGTTTGGGGTCGACGCATACTGCTCCATCCTGCAGAACATGAGTCGACGCATCCTCCTTATGGATCGACTCATTCTGGTCTCATACACAACATGTATCGACACATGCACCTCACTGATCGACTCATCCTGAGTCTAACATCGCTCGTGTATCGATGCATCCTCTCCTCGTGTCGACTCATCCCGAGTCTTACAACCCTCATGTATCGACACATCAAGTTTGAGGTTGACGCATCCTGACCCTTTCCTGCATAATTCCACGATTTCCTCTGCATTTTACTACGGGAATTATATTACAGCCCTACAAACCTTATTATAATCATGATAAATCATCACCTACGACTATCCTATAATACTACATCAATCAAACAACATAGGGACATCAATATTCATCTAAAATTCATCAAATCTTCATCGTACATCATCATATACGTCCAATTCAAGAACAAAACAGAAATCACCTCTAACCCCACATATCAAACATCATGAACCCAATTATAAAGTCAGAACCCCACCCTTACCTTGGATTGAAGGTCGCTCTACAATTTCCGGGTTGAAACCTCGTTCTGTCGTCTTTCCTCTTTTTCCAGCAGCTTCACGTTCTTCTTCTCAATCATATTCTTCTACTGCCTCTTCTTTCTATTCTATTTCCACAATAATAAAATAACCTATTATTCT